AGAGGGAGAGCCAGCTTCTCAAAGTTACCCAGCCACTAAACAGTGCATTATAATAAAAGCACAGACCCCTATGGGAAGCAGCACAGAAAGGGCCAGGAGGCACGGAGGCCTGTCATGCTCAACATCCGCCCCTGCGGTAGCACAGAGGGCTGACAAACAGCAGGCACTCAATATTTGCTGAATGAGTGGTGTAGAGGGACAGGTGTGTGTGCCAGGCGCAGGCTGGGGAGTCTCTCTGTTGCCCACAGAGTCTGTTCTACAGCCCGTAATGATGGGTATCACTGTCCACATTTTACATGTAGGGGAACTGCCAGACATGAGCCAGAAACAGAATGGTGGGGTGCGGACTGGCCCATCGCTGGTGCCCAGAGGCACTCTTTTTCCTCTGTGCGACATGCTTGGAGCTCTTTGTTTCCGTCAGCTTCAGGGGGGCTGGGCTGGGAGACCCTGGAGCTTTCTAGTGGAAAGCAAGCTGGTCTTCCTGCGGTTCAGCAAAGGCCTCCTCTATTCCCAGCCTGGCCCTCCTAGGACTGGCAGTGAGGTGTCTTTCACTGTGGCCCTCTCCTTGCAGACCTCAACTCTCCGTGGTGGTCGTTTTTCCCTCCCTAAATCTTTTGATTTGTAAGTGAATCCTGCAGCTGGAGGTCAGGAACTGGATGTTTTAGATTCTACCTTGTCTCCCTGTGTGATCTTGGGCAAGAGGCTAGACCTCTCTGAACCTGTATTGCCTCATTGCCCATGTGGGGACCTAGTTTGAAGGGGGTGAATGAATGTGTGTGGGGTCAGTGAGCTTGTGTCTACAAGGGGTCAACACACTGCCTGTCACACAGTGCCCCAGAAACGCCCCCACAGGTTGGCACCTCAGCCTTACAATCCTAGTTCAAATGAAGTTCCTTTTATTTTTAATTAATTAAGACTCCATGTTCTTGAGACTCCCTAGAGAAAGAAATGTGGAAGGAGAGAGGGAGGGAAGAGGAGAAGGTGAGAGATGCTACCAGTTTCTTATTTTACTAAAATCTTGCCCTGTGGCTGTGTAAGTGGCTTCATCACTAGATGGCGCCAGAAAATTAGTAATTTGGGACGAAACTCAAAACTATCTTACCTGTTTCCATCAAAATATATTTCATGACTCAGATTTAAAAATTTTAAAGTAAGATCACAGGAGTGATCCTTAACCTTGAGATGAGAAACTTTAAAAATAGGACACAGAAAGGAAGATTTGGTAAGATTATCTGCTGTAAACTGTTGTTTGAATGCCTGCTAGGTGCTGTATTATAAACAAAGTTAAAAAGCAAAAGTCAGTTTAGAAGAGAAAATACCAAACAAGTTCATCAGCACCAAGACCTCTATGCCTAATAAACAAAGAGCATTGACAAATCAATAATAAAAGTCTCTGACACAATTGGAAGAGTGATATACAAACTGGCAGCTTACCTGAGAATACATGTGAATGGTATATAATGTAAGAAAACATACTGCATGAGCTAGCAAACACAGAAGCACAGTATAGACCAACAAGGAGAAAAATATACTGATTTGTTCTGAGCACTGGGTTTGAATTTGTGATTACTATGTGGCTATGATGTATTTCCCTTCCCTCCTTTTCCTTCTCATTCCTGGATGCCTCCACTGGCATCCATCCCCAGACCCCAGCACTGTGACACTAACCCATCCCTAGACCCCAGCACTGTGGCATTAAACCGTCCCCATGAGAGCAGCACCAGGAGGGGCTCAGGACTTCTGGGAACAGCCACACAAGGGTTGGAACCACACACTGAGACTGGCGGGGTCTGCAGTCTTCCAGAGAAGCAGGACGCTCAGCTGGGGAAGGGGACGAGGACGGCACCAGTCACACGGGGAACCACTACTCTGCAGAAGGACATAAGGGGACAAGACAGAAAAGCGACAAACTCTAGAATCCTAGCAGATTTTCTTTCCTTCCGTTTTTCTGTCTTCTGAACTTGGTGGTCTGCAAAAGCTACTTTTTAAAACTGGGGACACAAATAAAAACCCTGACACATGGCGAAGCAGCTTTCTCCTGCACAGACTCGATAGCCCTCTCACCTACAGGGCTCACTCAGAGTCCTAGACAGGAGACCACCTCATGTGATCCTTTGAAAGACACTTACAACCCTTGGAACTCATGTCCAGGGGCTGTGGGTCACACACAGAGTACAGAATCCTCACGTCAACTGACCAGCAGGTTCTATGACAACCTCTTTTATAAAGACACAGAAACGAGAGCTCAGAGAAGGTAAGGCACCTGGCCAAGGTCACACAGCTCAGCACAAGGGATGTAGCATCCCGTTTACGTATGTCTGCCACTGGCTTCTCCACTCTTTGTCCCAAGAGATGTTGCAGAGCAAGGAACACTTGCAAGGAATTGTCAAATTTTGCCTCCGATCAAAGAAAAACACTGAAGAAAATCAGAGAAGCCTTTCAGGCCACTTACCTGGCTTCCAGTCAGTCCAGCTTTGTCTGACTGCCCTCCTCTCTCCGCCTCCTGTTTTCCCTTTCTTCTCCCTTTTCCCCAGTCACTGGTCCCAAAGTTCTCCTAAGGCTGGGCCTGTACCCTACAACTTGGCTTGTGCTCGGTGAAGCCATCAGCTGTCACCACGGAACAACGAAGCCAAGGGGTTTAAATCAAATCTTCCCTCACAACAATGACATTAATTATGCTTTTAACACATTTTACTGCTTTTTTTTTCTCACTTCATGCCACATCTGTGTGAACAATATCCAAAAGATTTACGGTTTTCTTCCGTAATTACAGATACACGGGCTGCGCACTTATCAAAATACTTGCTGAGCAATCAGCCCTTGTCTCGTTCTCTGCCAAAGGCTGGTGTTGGCAGCAGCCAGTCACTCAGACGGAAATGTTGAATCAGGACTTGTGTGTGCGGCTGGGGTGGGGGGATTGCGACAAATAATTTGCTTGTCAAGAAATATACCAACGGGAGCTGGTGCATCCCGGTCAGATGGGGGGAGTGGGCTTTGGATACTCCAAGCCCCCCCAAACTGCATCTGACATTTGCTTCTTCTGTCTGAGGATAAAATTTAATGAGAACAAAAATACGTCTTCCCAATTCCCTGAAGAAATCATTAAAACATTTTGTTATTCTTAAATGTCTTTAAAATGAATTAGAGGCCCTAAAGGGGCTGTTTGTGCGGCGCGTCTCCATCCGTTAAGGCTCCTCGTTTTCCAGCTCGCTGACAGCTGGGGTAGTGGTGTCCCCTCCCCCTACTTTAGGGAGGAGAACTGGGAAGTCGGACTCCCAGAGTCAGCATTGGACTCCCAGTGACCTCTGAACACCCAGGCCTTGGGGACGGGCAAGAGGGCATGTGGATCTTCTGGAAGGTTCTACACTAGTCTTGGGGGCTCATGTGGCTCTTGGCTGGGCCCACACCAGTACTGACACAGCCTGGGGTCCAGAAGGATGAGTATCTCATGGTGACCACTGGTAGGCCTTGTTTCTTTTCTGTGTGTGTGTTTGCATGGGTGCATATGTATGCATGCATATATATGAGCATGTGCACACATGGAGGCCAACAGTCAACCTTGAGTCAACCTTGGGTGTCGTTCCTTGGGGACATGCACTTTCTTTTTGAGACAGGCTTTCTTAGTGTCCTAGAGCTCATCAGACAGGTTTGGGGCTTCCTGACCAACAAGCAGGATCTTGTAGCCTAGGCTGACCTTGAACTTAGGGTGATCTTTCTGCCTCAGCCTTCTGAGTGCTAGGAGTACAGGTGTGAGCTACTACGTCCAGCTTGAAGCCTCATTTCTGACTTGTGCTCTACAAATCCAGGCCCTGGTGCCTTCCAGGGCTTTCAACTGTAGCTTTCAACTGAGCCTGGTGGCTGTGCTGCCTGTTGGGGACTGGGCTCTGTTTCTGGGTCACTGGAAAGTAGCAGTGACCCACGTGTGTGCACAGACCAAGGAGCAGCACTGTGTGTAGAGCTCCATCAGGGTGGATAGTGCCTTGACTCCCAACAGGACAGGCTGGTGTGTTCAGCTGAGGTGGTGTTTACCTCACTGATGGTCTGTCATTTAAGGGGATGGTTTGGTGGCGCTCAGCACACCCACAGTGCACCACAGCTTCACCTCTGTTGCCAAGTTCCAGAACTTTTTTCTCTCCCCAGGAGAAAGCCCCCTGACCACCTGTGTCTCGTGGTGGATTTGCTTGTTTTAGATGTTTCCTTTAAATGTAATCACATGCTGCCAAGGCTGGTCCACACTGTAGCAGATACCAGAACTTTGTTCCTTTTCAAGGCTGACTTGTATTTCACAATGTGGATAAACCACATTTTGGGGGGAGGGGGTTGAGACAGGTCTCACTATGTAGTCTTGGCTGACTTGGTTTCGCTATGTAGACCAGGCTGCCCTCAAACTCATAGAGATCTGCCTGCTTCTGCTTCCCAAGTGCTGGGACTAAAGGTGTGGACCACCATGTTCAGCCTATGGACCACATCTGAGACCACTAGTAAGGGGTTGCTTGGCCCCAGCCACTATGAAAAGGCTAATGGACCAACTCTTGCCTGTTCATATGGTCTGCAAATGGAACTGCCTGGGGTGTGTTCTTTGGGGTCTGGCTTCTTCTCTGTGTGGCGGCTTTGAGGTTGGCCGTGCTATTCTGTGGGAAAGGCTGGTGCTATTCCTCTTTGCCCTCTGCTGGCTGAGACCACTAGCCCCTTCTGTCATCTGTAGCCCGGGGAGGGTCTCCAGAGGCAAGACATGAACTTCCCCAAAAGACTTGGACGGGTATCTCATCTGGAGCACCCAAGATGGAAAGCAGACAGAAGACAGAGGGAACTATGGGGACATGTCATACCAGATTAGGTAAGGTTTTCTTGTCTCCCCTTTCCCCAGGAGGCCTGGCTTCCCCCTGGGACCAGGCCTGTCCCCAGACCCCGGCGCTGGGAAGCATCTGTGTCACCCGGGTCACCCATTCATTGCTTCCTTGCTGGTAATTATTCAATTACGGAGTCCAAGTGCTTCTTACCTGGTGCTTCAATTAATTGCTTGTAAACACTCAGGAAAGCTGCTTCTGCGTCCTGACTTCTCTTACTGAGAGCCACCACCTTTGGAAGAAGAGACAGTGTCAGCTCAGCGAAATTCCCACATTAAGGAATCTTAGTTCAAAGCCCAGCTGCACTGTGCCCAGGCTGTGTGACCTTGGGCAAGTCAATGCCCCTCTCTGAGTCTCAGTTTCCTCATCAGTAAAGTGGGGGTAGGGAATAATGATAGGACCCACCTCTTAGACCTGTCATGCACTAGGAGTTAAACACAGGAATGGGCAAATGGTAGGTTATTAATATCTGGTATTAATCTCTTGTTTGAGGGGGTGGGGTAAGTTCAACTATGACACGCTTTGGGAGAAAGTAGGACATGCTTGGAGAAGATGTCTTGTGTGTGAAAATTAAAGTGAAATTGTTAAAGTTCTTAAACATCAAACAGCTCCAACTACTGCCAGAGAGAACAGCTACATGAAACAGTTCCTGTATGCTGACCGTGCTCAAAAAATATTTCCCAAGAGAATGGCTAAACAGATAACGGATAACCCCGCGGTGAAGAGCCGTACTCGGGCCATCCTCTTGCTTGTGTTCTTTCTTGTTCTGTCAAGGAGACTTTGTGCAAGACAGATGTCACCTGTAACATGTAGACAGGTGACTCTTGGAGGGCTAGGATGCTGTGGCGTTTCCAGGCTCAGGACCCCTTATTTCCTGGTTCAGACAGTGCAGCTGCCTTGATCCTGGCTCTTGCTGCTCAGTCACATTGAAGAGTCCAGGGCCTCATGTGCCTGGAGCAAGTTCCTGATATGCACAGACCATCGACTCTGCATCCATAGGCCGCTGGCTGGCTGGGCCACTGTGTCTGCAGTGAGCCTGTGTTTCCAGTCCCATGCTTGTCCTTCCCAGCACAATTTCCTGTGGTGACTGGGCTTGCAGTCCTCCTCTCTGAGCCAGGCATTTCCTTTAACTCTCAGCGATGCCATGAAAGAGACAGAGGGGTGTTATCTGTTATCTGTCAAAACTTGCCCTTAAAGACAGCCCTCAGAGCTCTGTCTGGCACACAGTAGGTACCCAACATGTTTTCTGAGGGGGTATGTTCTTATTTAGTCCAGTCTGGCCTCAAACTCACTATGTAGCTGCAGATAGTCTTGAAGTGCTAATCTTCCTACCTTACCTCCCAAGTGCTGGGGTTATGAGTGTGCACCACCAAGTCCACTTTATGTGGTACTATGGCTTGCACACAAGGCTTTATGATGCTAGGTAAGCGCTCTATCAACTGAGTCACATCCCTAGCCCAGCAGTGCCATTTACTGAATAAACAAAGCCAAGTGCATTGTACTAACTCTAGGTCTGGCTGAGACATCGTCTGAAATTCTCACTTTTGCTCCACACAGGCAGAGGTCATGTCTGGGATAACCTGTTCAGAGAGGCAGGAAACTAAGGCTCAGGCCCTGGAGCTTGGACACTGGGGGTTCAGATCCCTGTTCCATTATGACTAGCTGTGTCTTCTTGGGCAGAAGGGTCACTAGAATTCTCATTTTCCCATTTGTAAAGGGGGCTAAAAATACAACTCTCTTAAAGGGATGTTGGGGCAGCCAGTGCTTTGAGTACATGTACAGTCCTTCAAAGGACTCCTGCCATGCCTTAGGCCTCAAAGATAAGTTCACCTAAGTCTGACCAATTCTCTCCTTGCCAGGAACAGTGCCAGTGCCAGCTGATGATCTCAGCTGTGTGTGTATTTTCAGAAAGTTCCCAAGAGAACCTGCCTTTCCATGCATACCAGTGCATACAGGGAGGGAGAATCAAGGACCATAGACATTCAATGTAGAGGATCGCACTGCCCAATATGGCTGCCATACTGTCCAATATGCTGCCAAAGTATTCAATATGGCAGCCCACACTATCCAATATGGCTGCTAAAGCCATGTGTGGCTACTGACCACCTGAACAATGGGGAGTCCAAATCAAGGCATATGGCAAATGTGAAATACACACAGGATTCCGAAGACTTAGTATGCGGAAAAGAGAGTATAATAGCTAATCAATGTTTTGTTTTGTTTTGTTTTGTTGCAATAGGTCTCATTATGTAGCCTTGGCTGGCCTGGAACTCTCTAAGCAGACCACGTTGGTCTTGAATTCACAGAGATCCACTTGCCTCTGTCTCCTGAGTTCTGGGATTAAAGGTTTGTGTCACCATGCCCAGCTCATCAACATTTTTTAAAACTATGAATTACATGTAATCATTTTTTATTATTTAAAAATGTGGCTTCCAGAAAATGTAAGATTTCATCTGTGGTCATTAGACTTCTATTGGATATCGACGTTTGAAGATTTCATGAGACCCATAGAGAAGTGGGGAGAAATGCAGGGCTGATGCTGAACAAGTTACTTAAAAAGGCCACTTACAACACCAATTTTATCTCATTGTTCTCCTGAGAACAGACCCTGGTCTCTGACCTTCCAGAGTGAGCGACGGTCTCTTACGCACTCAACAAACATTCCCCGAGTCCCTGAGATATGCACCCAAAACATCCATGAACAATGCAGATGCGGGCCCTTCATGGACATCAAGGTGAATTCTCCAGATATTGATTAATTACAAGCGTTAAGTGTTTGAAGGAAACACTTGGGAGACTGGGTTGATCCAGTTTGGTGGTAGAACCGAAGAATCCCCATCTCTGAAACAAGGACAGTGTGATTGGGGAGGGGAAGGGCAGAAAGCGTGAGAAATCAAGTCACCAACATATCAGGCTGTCAGCCCTCAGACATGGACACACTCCAAGCCAATGGGAACCACAACTGCCCATCGGGGATTACAGCAGGGAGTGGGTGAAACACTGGGTCACTCAGAAGTGTGTGGGGTGCAGTCAATGCAGTTTGGAGTGCCCGTGATAGGACAGTGGAAATTAAGATGCCAGCCCAAACTGTGGGCTACATGCTCTTTCTACTGACAAATGTCCATCTACAAAGACATGCCAGTCAGCAAGTTATTGACACCATTGTCCCACTACGCAGGCAAGCAAACTGAGGCCCAGTTACGGAGCACCCTGGGAAGGCAGGAGCTATAGTAAGGGGCTGGTCATTTGGACCCCTCCTGGATGTTGCTGTCTCTCAGGTGTCCTGCGGCTGTCTGAGGGTGGAGTCTGCTGGGTGCCCAGTGCTCACAGAAGCCACAGGAAGAAATGCCATTCACCTCCTGGCTGAGACGGAGAATGTGAAAGAGCAGAGGGTCTGACACTCTGGTTTTCAGTCATCCATACTGAGCACAGTGCTGGCTGGGGTTTGAGAAGGTCAAGAATGTTCCCATGACTTGTAAAAAGCAGGACAAGGGCTGGCTGAGTCTTTACTGCTCCCGAGCCTCGCCCATGGCTCCCCCACTTTTTGGTCACCTATGCGCCAATTTGTAGTGATGTCTTTATCTCTGTGACCATCCTCGTCTAATAATGTCCACCTTCCCCATCAGAGTTGGGCTATCCAATGCACTCACTACCAGACACATGCCAGAGACTGCTTAAATGTGGCCACTGCAGGGGTCAGTGAGCTGGCTCAGTAAATAGACACACTTGCTACGAGTTTGGCAGCCTGAGTTTGATCTTCAGAAACCACATGATGGAAGGAGAGAACTGACTCCTGCAAGTCGTCCTTTGACCTTGCATGCCATGGCACACATGTGTCCCCCTCAACAAGTACATAAATGTTAAAAAAAAAAAAGCGCCCATTCCACACTTCAATGAATGGTAAGATAGTTTCTCAGTCTCAGCACAGAAAAGGGAATGTAAAAGACCCCAATAATTATTTCATATCGATTACTTGTTGAAATGATAATGCTAGAGACAAATTAGGGGAAATAAAAGCTATTATTATTCACCATTAATAAAATTATTAATTAATATTTTATTATTAATATTAATCAATACGTTATTTATTAATAATAAAAGCTATTATTAAAATTAAGTTCATCTGCTTCTTTTAAAATACACCTTCTAGAGAAATCTAAATGATTTTACATGACTTATATTCTATCTCTGCTGGACAGTGCTGAGCTGATCCTTAAGGAGTTGGCAAACTATAACACAGTAGCCCAAATCTGGCCCTTCATTAGTTTGTGCAAATAAAGTTTTATTGGACCACAGCCAGGGGCATTCTTTTATGGATCCCCACGGCTGCTTTCACTCTTCCAGGACACAGCAGTGCAGCTGTGACAGACCCTGTGATCTGCAAAGCCGACAATGTTTACTATCTGGGTGCTTTTCCAGGGTTGTGGCTTACACACTTAACCTGCAGGTCTTGACCAGGGAGCTTGGTAGGAAGGAAGGGTTCTGTGGTCACTCAGAGGCACAGAAAGAAAGTATCCAGACTGGGCTTGTGACAGCAACAGTTTTTTGTTGTTACTTTTGTCTTTTTGAGACAGGGTCTTCCTGCAGCTGCAGCTGGCCTGGAACTCACTATGTAGACCAGGCTGGCCTCAATCTCACAGAGCTCCACCTACCTCTGCCTCCTGAGTACTGGGATTAAAGGCATGTGTCACCATGCTTGGTTGACAGAAATACTTTGAAGGATTCATACAGCAGCCAGCCCCACCCACCAACAGTAGGTCACCATCAGAAGGACCCTGGTATTGGGACGTCATGAAGAAGCAGTTCCGTCATGACCAGCAAAAGCCTGTTGCCACCACCTTGGTTCTTGCCTGCTGGGGGTTAAAACCTGGCAAATTTTCCCCTACAGGCTACGTGTCCACGGGCTGTCTGTAGTAGCCAGGATAGTGACTGTCTGCTGAGCACAGCTCTGTGCAGCAAACAGTTGCATCCCTATGGGATGGAAGCCCCGCGACACCAGCACTGTCCAGAGGTAGAGAGGAAGAAACTGCGGTTCGGGGAAGACATTCCATTGAGGTATGAGAACTAGCTATGAGAAGGAGGCATCAGACCCAACACCTCTCACACCAGGCCTGGATTGGAGACCAGAAACGATACTTCCTAAGGATTTTGAAATCCCGTGGCATGGACAGGGGACCTGTGATGGGGTCCACATGTTCTTTTATGGGCATGCAAAGGATGGTCACAGAGCATGCTTTGATCTGTGGGAAAAGTCCTTTTCAGGCTCAGTTCAGCCCAATATCCTCCCAAAATGCATTCAGCTACAGAACTTCCAGACCCACCCATCCCAGAACACCCACCGAGAGGCAGGAGGAAGCTGTTCTTAAAGTGTGTTCCATGGAACACTAGTTCCCAAGTTCATTCCCTAGGGACCAAAGTACACCCAACTCCAGGCCCAAATCCTATCCTCAAGGATGTCTAGAAAGGCTTGGTGTTCTGAGTATCCTGACCTCTGAGCATAGGCATCAGTATCCTGTGATGATGGGGCCCAGCCCACAATAAAAAAGACTTAAAAAATAAAGGAAACAAGGACTGGTGATGTGGCTCAGCTGTTGGCGTGTTTGCCTGGTGAGTGCGAACCTCCAACATTGCAAAAAATAAGGCACAGAGCACGGCTGTAATCCCAGCACTCAGGAGGCAGAGGCAGGAGGATCAGAAGTTCAAGGTTATTTTTGGCTACTTGGAGCCCCCTTGCCTCCCCTCCCAAATTTCTCAGGATGCTCTGAGTACCTGCCTGCACTGGCCTGACCAAACACCTGGTGTGGAGGAGCTGACCCACAGAGACATCATTGAGTCCAGCAAGGAAAGAAAACAGCATATAAAATGGTTCAGGAGGAGTCAAGGGCAAGGGATGGGAGTGAGCGGGAGGGAGGGGTGTTTGAGCTGCATTTGTAGGGCCAGTGTAGCTCTGGAAGCAGGACAGTGCAGCTGACTTACAGAGCTTGGGAGGGAGGGATTCAGGGAGATGTGACATGTGGGAGAAAAGGGCTCCAGGAAGACAGAATAATGGGTGCAAAGGCCCTGGGGCAGGAGGTTGCTTGGCTTGAGCAACAGCAAAGAGGTGGGCATGGCAGGGCTGGAGCAGAAGGACCAGAGAGGCAGCTACTGCAACCATCCAGGGGAGCAACAGGGGCATCACAGAGCAGAATGGGGATTGCAGGGGTAGGGTGAGGGCCTTGGGGTCTGGATTCAGGGGATAGGTTCTGGGCGAGCACAGAGCAGAAGTAGGAAAGCCTTAAAGAAGAGGGTAGTCTGGGACCACTGGGCAGTTTGGGATGTGGACAGGCAGATTCCATTGAAGGGCTCCTCCTGTGGTCCTGTCCTCCTAAGAGCTTGGGACAGGGCTGGGCAGTGAGCATCCTTCCAAATTAGCAAAGTCAGGGGGTGGGGCGCAGAGTACTTGGGAGCCCTATGTGGGATAGTACCCTGAACTCCTTGTAGTGATGGGTGCCCAGGACCTGCCCAGAGGCCCCACCTCATCCTTTGGATGCCCAGGGCCAAACAGGAAGCACCGAGGAGCTGAGAGCTGGGTTAAGACCCTGCACCTCTCACCTTGGACAAGGCACAGTTTCTGAACCTGTTTCCCCATCTGTATAGTATCAAGGTCCTTCCTCTGTGTATGTGATGCTCATGCGTTGCATATGTGGGGGCTACATGTATCCACCAGCACATGAGTGGAGGCCAGGGGGACATCCTGTGTTCTGCTCTGTCACTCTTCCTTACTTCCTCGAGGCAGGGTTTCTCACTGAACATGAAATTCCCAGTTTTGGCTAAGGAGTGGCTGGTCAGCAAGCTGCCAGGATCTGCCTGTCTCTGACTCCCAATTCTGGGGGTTACACACATAAGCTGCCACACCTGGCTTTCACATGGGTGCTGGGGTCT